ATATATATATATATATATATATATATATATATATATATACAGTCATGGTGGAAGAACCATGCATACACAGTGTATGGATCACAATGCGTCGAAGTATACGAGCTACAAGCACGAGCATGAGTAGGTAGACGACTGCGCATCATACTGCGCAAGCGGTTGTCATGGAAACATCATGTGGGTTAGAAAACTTAGAAAAGTGATAACAACGAGGTGGACATGAAAGAAGTTCCAATAAATAAAATAAAGAGAATTCCAGTAATAAATAAAAATAAAGAGAAAGAAGAATACCTCCGAAAACAAAGGAACATGAAAAAGTAATATAATCAAGTGAATAAGTAAATTGGATTATTAGATGACAACAAACATTTTTCTAAATAATTCTGCAACCTGTAAAAAATTTAATATTAATAAAAAAATTAACTAAATAATAGAATTAACTAATTTTATAAAGCGTATTAATATTATGTTTTTGTTAATATTTTAATAATAATAAAGAACTTCTGTTATATGAACAAAGTTTATTTTATGAAAAATTAGTGCGAAAATTAGTGCGAATAATTTTATTTGGTAATATCCTTTTATTAATACTATTAAAAGCTCTTTTTGTAATAGGCTTTGTTCGAACAAAGCCTATTACAAAAAGAGCTCTTTAAACATTCAGCAAAAGATAATTTTCTTTTTTAATAATTTAAAATATTCGATGTATTATCCACTTTTCTATATATATAGATAGAAGATATCATCTGTAAGATAAATTCACGTCATTAAAAAGAGTAATACAATTATTTTTCAAAGATTTTATTAATATATTACTAAAACTTGCTATTTTTATGTATCCTTTTATTTTTACTTGTTGACCCTTTGTGAAGTAATTTTCATATTCATAATTTGTCATTTGAATTTCAAGTTTATGAGTATATATACCATCAACTAATCCGTAATCACATGTTTTATAATTAGTTAAAAGTGTATTGAAACATGGTCTTTATAAAGCCGCGTATATACAAATAATTATCAAATAATTTATTTTAGTATTTAACTTATTTTTATTAATAAACATATTTAAACTAGAAAAATATAAATCATTCATAAATGCTAACATTTTTCCTAACAGATACTTTATTTGATTAATTTGCTGTATGTGTAAATGTTTAAAAATATTATGTTAAAAATATGCTTTGTGTGTAGAAGAGAAGCAGTGTGTGCGCGTTTCAATTATCACTCCTTAATTATCACTCCTCGCAAGTGCTTATTATAATCCTATGATAATTGTATACATATATATTTGTAAGAAATAAATATTAATCAACGGGGAAGGGAGATTTCTTTAAACCAGCGTTAATCTCCCTTCCCTGTTTATTAAATATATTAATATTTATGTATATATTATGGTCAATAATATATACATAATTATATACATAATATATACACAATTATTAGATAGGCATTATATATATATAATATATATATTTGCTATATAAGTGTAGATTTGAATTTAAGCGCTACTCGTCACGTGACACACATTTAGTTCATCACTTTGACGCTGAAATTATTCTCTGAGTTCTCTCCGTTTTTTTGACGGAAATTCCTTATTGATTATTACATTTGTGTGGACTTGTGTGGACGCATCTCTTGTACCTGAATGAGAGGGAAAATAGAGTTTTCTCATTAACGCGCTTAGGATTTTTAAACGAAACCTTTCTCGCCAAAGACAGTATATTCCGCGATGAATCCCTCAGAGCCAAGCGGCACCGAGACTCTCAGGTACAATGAGTTCACATTGGATGACACTGACATAAGGTTATACATCAGCTTACTCTTGACAGATCAAAAGCTTTTCAGTATTTTCGCAACGCAATGTGATTCGGACATGCGTTGTTATTTTCACAGCTAATTTTTCGTATGTTCGAATGATATTTAGTTTTCTTTTTACGTTAAATTCACATGACGTTTCGTTTTAGCTCTAAGATGAAAGACGTGATTGACGTTCTCGCGATGCAGCGCGAGAAAAGGAATACATTACAAAAGAGTATTACGATCGATTATACCAAATCCAGCGACAGTTTCACAGTTTCTCGATTTATCTTCGAGTGCGGTATGTTGGGTGCAACGATATCTCACCATTGGAAAGTTGTTAGGCACTTTAGAAAATTTGTCGAGCTTTAGAAATCTTGTGTTTACCGTAAAAAGGTAAAGTCTTTAATAAAACGCTCGTCTGAATTTAGGTTTGAAATTGGAGGCTCACCCATTGACGATAGCTACTGCTGCAACATTATATCACAGATTTATTAAAGAAGCGACGGCACAGGGATATGATAATTATGTAAGAACGGATGGTACTTCAAGACTCGATAAGTTCTTAATAAATACGACAGAATTTTGTCTCTTTTAGCTCATAGCTGCAACTTGCCTTTATCTGGCTGGTAAAGTAAAGGACGATACGCTGAAGATAAGAGACGTAATGAATGTATCTTACAACACGCTTCACAGAGGTTCTCAGCCGCTCGATCTTGGCGATCAGTATTGGAGTATGAGGGATGCAATCGTACAAGCTGAACTTCTGATCATGAGGATGCTCAAGTTTCAAGTCACGCCTGTGCATCCGCACAAGGTAAAGTGTTGTAAATATTACTAAGGCTGTGTTCCACTCTAGTTAACGTTACGTACACTAGCATTTTAGTTAACTAGAGTGAATTCGGAACACAGCCTAACTGAATAACATTAATAGACGTATGTGATAACGCACAAATAACTGCATTATGTTTCCTTATAGTACATGCTTCATTATCTGCGATCTTTGCAAGCTTGGTTTGGTGAAGAGGAGTGGTCCAAGTATCCGGTCGCCAAAACTAGCATGGCACTGCTACAAGACTTTCATCATTCCCCAGCTATTCTCGACTATCCACCGAACTTAACAGCGATAGCTTGTATCAACTTGTCATTACAAATTTATGGCGTGGTCGTACCTCTAATGGACGAGTGTGATCAACAGCCGTGGTTCAATGTAAGTATACATGATGCTACAAAATTTTTTGTCCGTTTTTCTATGTTAGTCGATAGATTTATATGTAAATTTTCTTGTCACCACACAGGTTTTCTGCAAAGATTTAGCGAGGGATAAGTTATGGGAAATTATGGAAAAAATCATGGCGGCATATGATGACGAACCTGAAACGAGAGACAATTAATAAGCGCGTATCTGTACCTATTACAATAATAAAGCACTTTCCGTACATTACAAACTATGGCAGTTGCTTTATATACACTTTTTTAATTATGAGCCGTATTCAGCGAATTTTTCTAAATTATTCGATCAATAGAAAAATTTAGAAAACTTTATTTTACAATACTCGAGTATTTATTCAATATTCGGTTAAAAATATTAATTTGTATTGTATCATATGCAAAACGTTGTAATCATTTTTCTATGAAGTGTTAAGAAATAAACCTGTAAGAGATAAAACTGAAGTATATTTTCAGAACTAAAGTACAATTTAATTCGCTAATACATTTTCTCTATCCAACATATTCTTTATAATCGCAATTCTCGTATCATCCATTTTTTTTAATAACAAATATGTTCACTTTGTACAAGAAAAAAATTTACTTGGACTAATTAATACGTATGTTGATGCATATATATGTTGATGCATACGTACGATGTATACGTGTATGCACAAAGTGGGAACATAAATATGTATAAATATTAGATATACCTATTCTTAATATACGAGAATAAAATTTTTAAATATACCTCTTTTAAGATACATTTATCTCACTCATTAACGACAAAATTTCTTCTGTACATTTTCTCAAAGTATTTAGCACAAACTTAATATCATTGTTATCCAGACTAGCAGATATACAAAGTCTAAGACTAGGCCTAGGTAAGATTCTTTCCGTTTCCAGATAGGCAGGTAGTATGATTGCCAAGTTATTTTCTATACATTTGTTAGAAATTGCAGATAGTAATTTCTCCTCGGTGGCACGGTCTTTCTGTTCTTTCAAATATACATGCTTTAAAGGCGATTCTGCGAAACTAGAGCACACCAACATCGGGATTTCTTTGAGACCGTTGTGAATCGATAAGGTATTATTTTTCAAAGATTGAAATACTTGTAAATTATTTTCAATCATATCTAAAGAAGTGATAGCAGCAGATGCCAGGAGAGGTGGTTGAGACGCCGAGAAACAGTAGCCAAGCCCAGATAAACGTTGATGATCGATGATAAAGGATGTTCCCACACAAAAGCCTCCAATAGTTCCCATAGCGTTCTCTAAAGATCCTAAAGAATATGTAGATATATATTATCATATATACATTTTCATATATTAACAAAAAATATCTAGCTTAGAGATGTGCGAACTATTCGAATTCGAATTTCTATGATTCGAATCCAAACTATTCAAAAATTTCGAATCTAGATGATTCGAATACGAATTATATACAGGGTGAGGCAATAACTATTACCACCTTAAATATATTCGAATCTATAAGGTCCAGAGAAAAATTAGTGTAACTAAAATTGTACGGTACGAAGGGGGCTATCATATAGCGATAATAATTTTTGTCCAGGTGGAGGGGCTTCGGAGATATCAAGGTCATCTTCATTTTTTTAAATTGATTTGGTACATTTTTTTCCATGTCTTCGAGCTCAAGGAGAATAATCGACTGTGATTGGTCTATCTATTTTCTTACGGTCTTACCATTATGACTAAAACTTTGTTACGTGCAATGGCCTTAACAGAAAATACGAAACGTCTGATTGGTTACGCGATATGCGTTACGCGGAAAATATCAGTCCATGGGGCCTTACAGAGAATAGGCCCTTTAGTTTGTAAGTGACCCTGTAGTAAGGTCGAAACGCTTTGAACGTTATTTCAATTTGTAATACAATCTTAGTACGTTGTATACACCTGCCTTGTACTACGTTTACGCGAGCGTTACTTCTGTAGGAACTTACGATAATTCCTTCGCGTAAACGGGATTTTGCAGTAACTTACGATAATTTACTCCGCGTAAACGAGCGAATTATCGTAAGTTACTACAGAAGTAACGCTCGCGTAAACGTAGTACTGGTTCGTTAACTACTTTTTTAATTTTTTGAACTCTGGTCTTTTATTATTTTAATAATTATATTGTTAATTAAAAATTATATTTCAACAATTCGAAATTATTTGATTCGCTTCAATTCGAATGGAACTTTGTCGATTCGATTTGATTCAAATTTGAAAAAAGAAACAAAATTTAATTCAATTCGACTTGACATAACAAATCCTTGATTCGTACATCTCTACTGGCTTTAATTTTTTTTTAGTTATTATATTAGTATTAATTTTTACCTATTATCATGTCTACTTCACTTCTGGGAATGTTGAAATATTCGGTAACGCCTCTTCCGTGTAGACCGATGGTACCAAACGATATCGACTCATCAATAAAGATTCTCAACTTGTACTGTCTGCAAAGATCCAGTAATTCAGGTAGAGGACAAATGTTTCCTGTATTCATATAAATACCCTCTACGATCAGAAAACGTCTGATTTTCGCAGCCTTTTTAGGACGTCGTTTGTCCGCTTCCTCCTGTTTCTTCAGGAGATTATGTAGATCTTGAACATCATTATGTTTAAAATATTGGATATTTCCTCGAGACGCGTCCAATCCTTTCTGCACAGCGAAATTTACTCGCTCATCCACGAATATCAAGTCGGTACGTTTACAATAAGCTGGGATTACGGTCGACATAGTAGCGAACCCATAGGAATATGTTATAGCGTCTTCCGTGCCCATGAAACTGGCCATACGTTCTTCTAGCTCCAGGTGCACGTCGACAGTTCCATAGAAACCTCTTGGTCCACAAGATCCAACGCCGTATTTCTTGATAGCCGCCTCGGCGCTGTCTATCAGCTCTGTATTGTCACTTAGACCCAAGTAATTATGCGTACCCAAGTTGAGACAATCCCTGCCATTGACCGTCATCCGCTTCCCGATTCTAGAAGTGATGTGTTTGGGACTCAGCGAAGGATGGTCCGCTGGCGATTCTGGCACGAGGGACTCCGGCCGCCACTCCGCCAGTTTACGCTCCACCAACTCCTTCGAGGGTACCGAATCCTGGCCGCCGCTTCGTCTCTTGGAAATAAACCACACTATCCAAAGCACCAAAATCGCTTCTAGCAGAGTGTGGTAATGCGGCAAGGTGTCCCGCAGGATCTCCACCGATTCGACAAACAGGAGTTTCGTGCTCATTTTTCTTGACTAGTCCGAGCAGAGAGATATATAGAGTACGCAGGCACTTTCTTATCGTATGACAAAATATCAATTATCTAGAATTATATCTACATCTCTTACGAAATGAAAACATGCGACGAAAGGCTGATAACGATAAGCCGAATTATCAAGCCTTCACGGGCCACGGGTCTCACCCTTGCCCACGGTCGTGTAAAGGCACTTGGCAGCCTTCGCGCCAAGCGCCAATGACCCATTGAGGTTAAATTGTATATTAATGCACCATTAATGCAGGCGCACAAAGAAACGAACCAATCAAGTGTCTAGCATGAAGAACGCAGCAACATCTGTCCTTTTTACCTGAACTTCTTGCACGGTTCATCTTTCCTCTTTCTCTTTTCACATTGGAGAGAAAAGGAGAAAAGATGAACTGTGTAAGAAGTTCAATTGAATAGAATAGACCTGTGATACTGTTTGCATCAGACATACGATTGGCATGCATTTCTCGGTGCGTATGAATACATGATTATTTAAATAGTTTGAATATTGAATATTTATGACAGAATCATTATTTTTGCAAAACAAAATATGATAAAAATACGGTGTATATGTATATTATGCACCCGCGTGAATAAGGAGCGGTAGATTATTTTATTTATTATAATTATTAAAAAGCCAAAATCTCCGGCTCTTTAGCGCATATCATCATTTCATAGAGAAATAATCTAAAAGACAGAATAATACTTTTACGAGGTGAAATATATATAGAGTATAGAGTTACGTATATGCGTATGTACATGGTGTTTGTGCACTGCGATAAATAAAAGGAACAATGGGTCGATTGTGTATCTTGAAACGATGTGAAAATTACAAAAGTGAGGAAGTTCATTAGAGTATACCTATCCACGATTTTATTTGTCAAAATCTATAAGTAAATCTGTTTATTTTTATAATTTCCACCTCGTTTTAAAATACATATATAATCCGATCTCTAAATTATCATCTTTATTTATTACAATTATTAGAAATTAAATTGCAAAATTAATTTCTAATAATTGTAATAAATAAAGATGATAATTTAGAGATCAGATTATATATGTATTTTAAAACGAGGTGGAAATTATAAAAGTGAACAGATTTACTTATAGATTTTGACAAATAAAATCGTGGATTTCTTTATCGGATATCTATCGTATAGCTTTGTAAGAGATAATTGCTTAAAAAAGTATTATTGACAATTAAGTATTCATTGCAATTGAAGTGTTGATGAAAAACTGCAAACTTGCTGTCGTCTTTTATTCTTGCTAATGCTGTTTTCACACCTCCAATGGCAGCGCACAGTTCATCTAGTAGAAGAAAGACCTACGCAACAAATCTATAGATAAACTTTTAGCTAGGACTGTACCGAGAGAGATACACTGTCACTCGAAAGTTTTCTTTCTCTCTCTCTCTCTCTCTCTCTCTCTCTCTCTCTCTCTCTCTCTCGGCTGACCAGTAACGACCTGCCAGTGCTCTTTTCAGTATTTTATCAAAATTTTGATAACGCACGCCGCGCAACTCGATCGTGAACAGACCTGAAGACAGGTCCGCGCGCGTGCAATCGGCGATTTTAAGCCGCTGTTGCCGAGTCGAGCGGCGGCGGGCGGAAAACAGGACTTCCGGTATCCGGCAAACGCCCCAGCGGTCCCCCAGTCCCCAGTCTACCTGTCAGCATCGTCGGGTTCGCAGCAATTTCTGCGTACGATAGATCGCTCCCTCGGCGTTTTCGTCGATTCTATCGAGAGGGAACTGTCAGGACCTTCGCCGAACGGTGAGTGAGCACATTTAAGACGACGATCGTCGTCGCGTTGCGACGAGACGCGCGACGGTGTCGGGTGTGCGGCTCCCCCCCTTTTCGAAAAATTCTACTCCGTTTATTTTACCCCTCCGACGAGGGGCTGCGCTAAGCGCGACTGTGTAAAACCGATTGTGCGAAATAATATTCGTGTATAAATGAACGTGTACGTAGAAAATGCATGAGTTTAGTTTTCGGCCGGCATCGCTCGAGGAAATCGTACAAATAAGTTTGGTTATCTCGCCGTCGCATTCCGGCGAGCGTTGCCCGCCTGAGTCATGCACTCCACTTGACG